CTTCTGTAGGTGAAGGAGATGTCTCTCATTAGGAATACCATACTGGAGTGCCAAGTGTGCGGTAAGTCTTCTCTGCCCAGCTCGCTCCGGGGAACCAATGAAACTAGATTTACTTTGAGTTACTTAATTTGACCCTACTCTCTGTTCTGAATTGAGCGACTGGGAAAAGTCACATTATAAACCAATAAACTGAAACTAGTTTATAACATGGCAAATTATTTTCATAGGTAAATAATTTTACTTCTATTTGTAACTTCTATCAGTGGGGAAAGAAAGAACAATATATTAGACACTGCATGAAGTTAGCTTTTTCAACACCAATCGTGTAGATAGAGAAGTAGTCCGATCTTACATTTAAAAGAAAAGTGGCAAAAAAGGACAAGCATTCTCGAGTGCTATCAGTGTGAATAGTAGACCGTTAAATGTGAGGATATTTTAATCCTGAAGTGACAACCATGTCATATCTGTATTGGTGAGTGCTGCTTGCAATAATATGCTATTTTTTTTGTTATGTGCTGTATAGGGTTCAATGAGCCTCGTTCCCGCTGTCAGCCCAACCCCTGCTTTAAGGGTGTTCCCTGCATGGAGACTTTTGAGTTCCCAGGATACCGCTGTGGGCCCTGTCCTGAAGGGATGACCGGCAATGGCACCCACTGTCAAGACCTTGATGAAGTGAGTCTGTTGCTATAATAAAAACAAACAGTGGAATATATAAATGCAAGGCATGCATATACTGGTGTTTTCTTTCTGCCTTTCTCTCAGTGTTCACTGGCTCAGCCCTGCTACTCTCCAAGTGCATGTGTAAACACAGTAAAGGGCTTCAGATGTGAGCCCTGCCCACCTGGATATTGGGGGAAACCTGTCTTAGGGGTTGGTCTGGAATACGCCAGGAACCACAAACAGGTGCTCACTAGGGCACACAAACACACTTATATATAGGGATGCCACCCACCTGGTTTTCAGGCAGTGTCCTTATGTCCAGTAGGAAAAAACAAGCAATGAAATCATATTGGACAGTTCTTTTGTCACTCCCCACGTCCCCGTCCCACTGAAAATTTCTATGCCAATTGTGCCATTTCGTATAAATGGCGTTTATTTTAAAGCAACTGCCAATCATACAGAGAGCTGCTACAAGTCACAGCATCTGTCTAAAATATGCAGGAGAAGAGCAAAAATGCTCAAGGAAGAAATCCCCAAAAAGAAGCAAAAAGCAAAAAAAAAAAAAATGTCAGAGTCTTGTCAAGGAAGAAATCTGAATTTGATTTAATTTTAGATTCGCATGCTGAATTCTGCAAGCTTGTTTTGAAGTACAAGATAGTTCTGCTGATAGTGGCATGGTCAAATGCAAATTACAGTTGGAAGAAACATTAGGGGTGTGTCTAATGAAATTTTGACCTTGAGTGTTAGTGCATAGGGTGTCCAGGTTTAGCATGTTGAAAAGGTGGCAACCCTACTCACATAATAGATAACTACATAATTACATAATCTGTCTTGGGCTCCTGAGTGGCACAGAAGCATTCATCCTATCATAGGGAGATTGTCAGTTCAAATCCCAATGATGCTGCAACAATTCATGGCTAGGGGGGCCAAGAAAGCATAATTTGCCCTGCCTTTTGTCCCCTGTCAATCGTTACACTAGCTAATCATAGGGATCTTTGAGCTTATGTATATGGAAAAGGGCAGCTACTGACATTGTGTGAGCAGCATTGGTGGCTTCACCATGCTAGCCTTCTCCCTCCCAGTAGCTGTCATGTAATAGGGGAGAACTGCGAACTGACAATGACTAAAAATGATAGGCATAGAAGATATTGTATTTACGTGATAGCTGTCACACTGCTGTTTTCTCTGATGGGTTTTTCCTTCACAGGAATGTCTAGACATAGATGAATGTGTGGAAGTTGCCAATGCATGCACAGCCAATTCTGTCTGCATAAACACCATTGTAAGTATTATGGCTCTTATTTAGACCTCAGCAGCCCAATTTCCTAATAACACATGGGAAGCTTTGACGAAGTCAGCGGGAATACAGTGAAGTGCCAAGAAACTTCCGATTCACTTTACACACTCTCTCTTCCTCGTTTTCTCTCAGGGGTCATTTAAATGTGGGCAGTGCAAAGCTGGCTATGTGGGAAATCAGACGGCAGGCTGTTTTCCTCGGAAGTCCTGTGCTACACTTGACTTTAACCCATGTCACTCCCATGCTCACTGTATCATTGAGAGGAACGGAGACGTGTCCTGTGCGGTATGCTAACAGCTAATATCACTTTAACCTTATAAATGGGTAAAAGCATCACGTTTGTTTCAAATGAGGCCTCATTCTTGGAACATGCAAGTTTTATTGTGCCTTCTTAATTCATGATTATGTTTACTTGGACTTTTTTGTTGAATGAATAGTCTGAATGAGGATGTGTGTGTACTATTCTTATGTCTTATATCTGTTCTGTGTTTTTCAGTGTAATGTTGGCTGGGCTGGTAACGGGAAAACATGTGGTATAGACACAGATATTGATGGCTACCCTGATCGTGCTCTGCCCTGCATGGACAATAACAAGCACTGCAAACAGGTTTGAACTCATCACCTAGCCTACACTACATAGCCTGTACTACAGTATATCACTTTTTACATATATGAATTTCTCAGATTTTTCATTCTCATGCTCAACATGGATCATAATCATCATGGATCAAAACTTGGGTGATGTATTAATTACAAGTTGTCGGTTTAACTTCTTTGCAATTTGCAAAGAAGTATCCACAAACTGGCTCCCAGGAATGACCCAACCATCCACTTTCCTCAAAGGATGATTAACTGCTATATAATTAAGTATATGAGCAGCAGATGTACTGGTGTACATAGGTACATCAGGAAATTGTAGTCTATTTAAATGTCTTACATTTTATCTCTGTGTATCTCTAATTCTATATAGAGTTAGTAGGGATTAATTACTCTTTTTTTTTTTTTGCTGCAACACCCCAACAAACCTAATATACAGTTCTGATTCTAACGATTAGCTTATATGTATTTAGCAATTGTTTACATTTTTCAAACACTTTGTAACATTTGTAAACAGTTCATACTTTGTCATAGTATAAAGAAATATATTTCTCATATATTTCTCCCACCTATGTATGTGTCTATTTTGGTATCTTCATTATCATTCTTATACAGGATAACTGTGTACACACACCAAACTCGGGCCAGGAGGACGCAGATAATGATGGCATAGGTGACCAGTGTGATGAGGACGCTGATGGCGATGGCATTAAGAATGTAGAGGTATAACAATGGCACTCATTATATGACTATTCTGTCATTAAAACACCTCTACATTTATCTATGCCAAGTTTACTTACTGACAATGGGAAATACAGCGTAACAAGTCCGTGCATAGGTTATGCATAAATGCTCGTTTCCCCTAATCACCTTGTTTTAGGACAACTGCCGGCTGGTACCTAATAAAGACCAACAGAACTCAGACACAGACTCCTTTGGTGATGCATGTGACAACTGTCCCAATGTGCCCAACATTGACCAGAAAGACACAGACAACAATGGAGAGGGCGATGCCTGTGACCAAGACATTGATGGAGACGGTCAGTATAATTCCTATGTTTCAGATAACTCCCCTGCATTGAAGGAAAAGACCACCGTGAAACACATTAAATATGTTTATAATGAAATTAGTATGATGTGATTTGGGATTCTGGTGCTAAATTGTTGGTTGGCGCTGTATTTTTGTTGTTCCTGTGAGAAATTAGCAATTGTCTGCTGTGCCGACGTCACGGGAGGACGTTGCTAGCACAGTTACTAGTTAGTTATTAGTGTTTAATAAGTGAAATAAATTATCTATCTCACAGATAAATAATAATGGTCAAGTTTCTTTTCTCACTCAACAATTTCCAGCAATGCTCAATGTCATATTAATGAGAAATCCAGTGTAGAAATCAGTAAATGTTAAACTCATAGTTCCAGAATGCAATGTAGTTGATGCAGGTAAGCTACAGCAGAGACTCGGTTCAGCTAGTTAGCGATCTCCAAGATGACGAGTTTGATAGAGTTGATTATATTAGCATGAAAGTTAGAGCTCTGGAACCTGATCTGTTTGAGAAGAGTATACAGATGAGGAGGTGAGGGAGCTAGACTGACTAAAGGAATAAAATACATTGTTTAACTGCTGTCTTTAGCTAGAGATGAAGGGAGCGCTAATTCCCACTGGCACCAGTATCAGAAAGTAGTTGAATGGCATCATGGGTAATGTAGGAAACTGTTAAATAAGTACAAATAGATCAACATGGCACTAATTGACGTTTGTTTTCAGGTTAGGGTTAGGATTAGGTCAAGGTAGTGGATAATATTAGTTTTGGGGCCAAAGTAAGCATATGATTAGTTTTCAAGAAATGTAATCACACTACTTTTGTATCTACGCATGTCCTTCAGCTGTAATATGTTTGAGACTGCATGTCTGATGTGTGTCTGCATGCATTGCAGGTGTTCAGAACGTGCTGGATAACTGTCCCAAAGTGCCCAACCCTATGCAGACAGACCGGGATCACGATGGAGTGGGAGATGCCTGTGACAGCTGCCCTGAGATGAACAACCCCATGCAGGTCCTCACAGTTTACAAAGCACCATTCTAAGGTCTAATGTTTCAGTTTAAGCAATTAAAAAGGCCATTGCAGGACTAGTTTAGTTTAGACAGTACTCATGGAAGTAGTACACACTGGGTGGGTAATGTATGGTTTGTTTGCATCAAACAGATTGCATTATGATCAAAACTTATTTAATTTTTCCATATCTGTCTGTATTACTGCTGTGCAAAAGTTGATAGCAACTGCTTTGCATGTGTTTAGAGAAGAACCCTTTCTCTAAAGATATATACATTACAGCGAAATTCTTTTCGTCACATAGCCCAGCTTGTTAGGAAGCTAGGGTCAGAGTGCCAGGTCAGCCATGACACAGGCCCCCAGGATAGAGATAGCCAAGGGCCCAACAGGGGTAGCTTGGTGGTGCTGGGGCTTAAACCCCCAACCTCCAAATCAGTAACCTGGAGCCTTAACCATTGAGCTACCACTGACCTCTTGTGAGTGTATTAAAAAAAACTATTCTCTAAAAACCTAGAATTCTAAATTTTAAAGGACTTGTTTAAGTTTTTCATCAGTCAATGGTCTTTACTCACTGGGAGTATTTGCTGTTTGTAATTTGAGTCTAATTCAAGTGCTAATAAAATGCTAACATAATTCTACTTATATCCTTGCAGACTGACATAGATAATGACCTGGTAGGAGATGTGTGTGACACCAATCAGGACTCGTAAGTTTAAACATATACACACTAGCTTTAATTCATGTGCAATGTAATGAACATTATGTATTACTCTGGCGCCACCTAGACCTCAGACCTTTTGCCTGCTGTACAGTCTGTCACATATTTCTTCAATGTGCTTTGATGGTAATATTTTGGTACTCTACAGAGGAGTGCAAATGTTTGCATACCCCTATGGCATACTGAAGAAGACAAATGTAATTTATATCAATAACACAGTTAGTGTGTTGCATTTCACGGATGTTTCTTATCATTCTTCATTCATCTTCATTAACTGCTTTACATGGTCAGTATGATACAAACATTTGCCTTGAACTGTATATTAGGGGTGTAACGCATTGCCATTACCATTGCCATCTGTATAGCTGCTTTAAAAAAAATTATATATGTATATATATATATATATATATATATATACACACAGTCAGGTTCGGAAGTATTTGGACAATGACAGAGATTTTGTGATTTTGCCTTTATACACCACCACAATGGATTTGAAATAAAACAATCAAGATGTGATCGAAGTGTAGATTTTCAGCTTTATTTTAAGAGGTTCCACAAAAATATGGCATTTACCATTCAGGAATTACAGACATTTTCAACAAAGTACCTCCATTTTCAGGGGCTCAAAGGTATTTGGACAAAGTGACATAATTGTAAATATAACCATAATTTTTAATGCTTGATAAAAATCCTTTGCAGTCAATGACTGCTTGAAGTCTGGAGCCCATGGACCAAATTCTGAGTTTCCTCCCAACTAAAGTGGATGATCACAGAATCCTTTCCTTGGTGAAGAAAAACCCCTTCACAACAGAAAGTAGGCGTATCATTGTCAAAATCTACAATCAAGAGATGCCTTCATGAATGTAAATTCAGAGGGTTTACAACAAGGTGCAAACCACTGGTAACATTCAAGAACAGGAAAGCCAGATTAGACTTTGCCAGAAAACATCTAAAAAAGCCTCCCATGTTCTGGAATATGATTCTTTGGACTGATGAAACCAAGATTAACTTGTACCAGAATGATGGGAAGAGAAAAGTATGGTGAAAGAAAGGAACAGCTCTTGATTCAAAGTATACCACATCATGTGTCAAACATGGTGGAGGCAGTGTTATGGCATGGGCATGTATGGCTGTCAATGGAATGGGCTCACTGGTGTTTACTGATGATGTGACTGCTGACAGAAGTAGTGAGATGAATTCTGAGGTGTATAGGGCTGTACTCTCTGCTCACATTCAGCCAAATGCTACGAAACTGATAGGATGCCGCTTCACAGTGCAGGTGGATAATGACCCTAAACATACTGCGAAAGCAACTCAAGACTTTTTGAAGGCAAAGAAATGGAATATTCTTCAATGGCCAAGTCAGTCGCTGATCTCAACCTAATAGAGCTGCTTTTCACTTACTGAAGACAAGACTGAAGGCAGAAAGACACACAAGGCCTGGCAAAGCATCTCCAGGGTTTTTGAGAACATGGGCTCCAGACTTCAGGCAGTCATTGACTGCAAAGGATTTTCATCCAAGTATTAAAATTATGGTTATATTTACAATTATGTCACTTTGTCCAAATACCTTTGAGCCCCTGAAAATGGAGGTACTTTGCTGAAAATGGCTGTAATTCCTAAACTGTAAATGCCATATTTTTGTGGGACCTCTTAAAATAAAGCTGAAAGTCTACACTTCGATCACATCTTGATTATGTTATTTCAAATCCATTTCGGTGGTATATAAAGGCAAAATCACAAAAATTCTGTCATTGTCCAAATACTTCCGGACCTAACTGTGTATATATATATAGATGCCATATGAACCTTTCCACAGAATGTATTCATATTTGGCTACATTCCTATTGTATATGTGTATATATATTTAAGTTTGTATGGTTGTTTGGCCAGTGATGGGGATGGACACCAAGACAGTCGAGACAACTGCCCCGACATCCCCAACAGCTCTCAGCTTGACTCAGATAACGATGGTATTGGAGACGACTGTGATGATGATGATGACAATGATGGAATACCTGACACTGAGACTGCGGGAGGACTTGGTCCTGATAACTGCCGGCTTATTCCCAATCCCAACCAGAAAGATTCAGATGGTAATGAACTCTTTCCATGGTTTTTTGTGCTGGTGTTACAATCATGATCATCACAACTTAACATTCCTGACAGCCTGTTTTCTGTGCTGCTGGTACTCTTAACCTTTAGCTAAATAGCTAGTATAATCAACAACTTTGTGGTTGATATATATATATATATATATATATATATATATATATATATATATATATATATATATATATATATATATACACAGTCAGGTCCGGAAGTATTTGGATGATGATGGAGTTTTTGTGATTTTGCCTTTATACACCACCACAATGGAATTGTAAATATAACCATAATTTTAATACTTGGATGAAAATCCTTTGCAGTCAATGACTGCCTGAAGTCTGGAGCCCATGTTCTCAAAACTCAAATTCTGAGTTTCCTCCCTGGAGATGCTTTGCCAGGCCTTCACTGTAGCCACCTTCAGTTGCTGCTTGTTTGTGGGTCTTTCTGCCTTCAGTCTTGTCTTCAGTAA